AAGTATCTCATGATTAGATAAGACAGTAGTGTTAGCCTTATTCCTCGGAGAAAAACAGGAGAATGGAAATATGGTTAGTGACATGTAATATAGTTATATATGCCTATAATATATATTACATAATGATTAACTATATCTAATTACATATGATATAAATAGTTATAGGGTTGATATTTCGGCATCATGCCTTTATCAAACCGTAGCTTCCCTGCCAATAATCCTACTCGTTTTTCAGTTGTTTTTTTTGAAACAGCAAGCCACAGCTGTTTCAGGACGCCACATTCCGCGGAAACAGCGATTGCCAGCCATTAACACCATACAGTGCCTATCTCAGAATTAGAGTGCGTGAACATACGTGTACATGTAAACGAATTCAAGCAAATGGGCCTCACGCATCACGATTCATTCAAACATGCAAGCGAGTTGAAGTAAACAGGCACCACACATCGCCCATCAATTATGCATGCAAACGATTTCAATTGAACAAGCATCGCACATCACGCGTCAGGCATCACATACGCATGTAAACGATTTTAAACCAACACACATCACACATAAAGGCACATATCACGTTCACATAATCGATCATGATGAGCCTTGTATGTTAATTTTGGTCGCCGGCTTTTTATAAGAATGGATTCACTGATTTTCCTATCTGGGTGGTCCTGCACTCTGTAGATGGGTGCGCTCTGTAGTCATCTACAGAGCACAAGACCACCCAGACAGGAAAATGCGTGAATTCATTCTTATAACAAGTCGACGACTAAATCTTACATACAGGGCTCATCATGGCCGATTATGCGAACGTGATATGTGCCTTTATGTGTGATGTGTGCTAGGTTAAAATCGTTTACATATGTAAGTGATATCTGACGCGTGATGTGCGATGCCTGTTCAATTGAAATCATTTGCATGTATAATTGATGGGCGATGTTTGATACCCGTTTACTTCAGCTTGCTTGCATGTTTTGAATGAAGCGTGATGCGTGATGCCTTTTTGCTTGAATTCGTTTGCACGCACACGTATGTTCGCGCATTCTAACTATGAGATAGGTACTGTATGGCGATAATGGCTGACAATCGCTTTTTGTTTAATATCCTGACTGTTGGTGTCCCATACAAACTGTGGCCTGCTATTTAAAAAAACCCTGAAAAATCGAGTAGAGTCATCGGCAGGGATTTTGGATTCACTTCTGCTAGTGTTTAGATAAAGGCACGTTGCCGAAATATCAACCCAACTTTATCTCAATTCTCCTGTTTTTTTTCGTTTTTTTTTGTTCTCCGAAGAATAAGGCTAACACTACTGTTGTCTTATCTATGTGAGTAATGTTCCTTGCTAATGCACTGAACAACTTGCGTGGTTTATCTCGCGCTTGTTCTTACATGGATCTTATACCTACGTACATCAGTTTTTGTAATACCGGTTATGCGCAACTAATGCCGGTTATGCAGACCCGGGCCACAGAACCGGGATTCCTAATATGATATCCACCGAGCCCTTCGGGCGCTTCGGAGCCACGAATAGGGTCTTCGATGGTCTGTCCACAGAGCCCTTGGGTGGGAGGGGGCGGTGCACGGGCCTCTGTACATCTCCTGTGTGCGCCACTGGAGGTACCTGAGCGGTGAATGCGACTCCTGAGCGACTAGGGTATCCTAGCAGTTTTCCAGCTCCCTTAGTGTCCGCAGTTTGAAGGGCAACAGAGGTCTTAACAGCTGTAAGGGCCCTTAAATACCGGAGTACCCCTGGCCACCAAGAAGTCCCGACTGAGCGGCCAGAGGGGTCTACGAGTTTACCAGAGCGGGGTTACTGAACTGCTAGACGCTGCTACGGTATTATCATAATTTTTGGGTGACAATATTTTTTGCTCCTCTCATTTAGTATGGTAATTTTTTGGACTTCACAGTTCCGAAAAGAGCTGCCCCAGGGTCTCCTGGAACCCTCGCCCTTGTTCCACACCCCATCCCCCCCCCCCTCCAAAAGCCGGACCCCAATAGAGTTTTCAGCCAAGACTTGTGACCCCATGCGTTTCTCGGTTGGGGCTGAAGGACCTTTCCGTCCCCTCTCAGATTTCCAATCGGTTACTATTAATACACATGACACATTGGTCCTCTCTCTGACGCCGAAGGCCCTCTGACCGGGATGGCTGACCATGGATCAACACGGGGCCACTCACAGACCCAAAAGGGTCCCAAGCGTAGCGGGTTTAATACATAGCTCAGGAATTCCAGTTCGACATATTTCAGCCCTAGAGAAAACGGGCAGAGGGACCCTGTCCGGTGCTGGTTCCTGACTGACACGAGGCTCTTCCATTTAGGCGCCTGCCAAGGAGGGAGGGGGGGGGGGGGGGCGGGGGGGCTCCGGTTCAGCACCAGGAAGATCCCGGGATGTCCGACATGTCCGGATGTCCGGTTCGCCGGGATGTGTACCGCGGCGAACCGAGTGAAACCGAGTCAGGGGTCTCGGACTCTGACGCAAAGATGGCGGCGTGCCCGGCTGAACTAGCAGGGTTTCGACCTCGGGCGGGCTGCCCCACGACAGCCCTCGCGCGCGTGTGGCGTGAGTCCGTTCTCGGGCGAGGGAAGGCGCGCGCGCGAATGCGTTCTTTATTTGGCGACCGGGCTGTCTCGTCCGCCGGCCCGCCGTGAGCGCGGCTGCCGGCCGGACCGTCGAGCTGGGCAGCCTCTGGGCTGCCTCGTGTGTCCGAGCTCCGCGTCCAACCGATTACACATTATTATTCCACATATAAACAGTGATTGAGCGGAAGCATTGTCTGCAAATTTGGGCGGGTGGCGGTTTGTTTGTCTGGACGGGCTGTAATACCGGTCGGAGCTTTACGTCCACACCGGCTGCAATTGCTATTTCGAGGCGGAACGGCCTCTATTACGTATTCATCAGGCATTAGGTACGTGGGATGCGGTAGTGGTGTGGCCAGGACTCCATTCTAGGATAGAAAAGTCCAGAGATGAGCACCCTTACCACTAACCACCATCGCCCCTCTGCGGCGCGACTGCGCCCGTCTCGATAAACTCCAGACTCGTGTTTGCTGAACCCCAAATCCTATACTTAGGAGGTCTAAAACGTAAAAGGAAGAAAGCTTGTCAGGGATGATGAAGTGGATGGCGAATACAAGCTCACGATTCTCCCAATTCATTCAGCTTTTATATCGCAAACCAGCTCAGTGACGTACACTCGGCTCCGCTATTAAGATGATGAATCACAGTGCCTTTAAGGGCGGCACGTGCGTAGTGCTTTGCGTGACGTTCGCGGCAGGCAGTTGAATACATTCGCAGTGAACGTTTGTTTTTTTGCGTCCTATTTACTTGCAGCCAGGAGTGCAGTCCCCTATTCGGTTGCAAGGGTTTCATCTCCCGCCGTAACTTGGATTGCAGCCACCGGATTTGTGAAAAAGTAAGCCAAATTCGGAGAGAAACCAATTTGTCGGCATATTGTCACGGTACTCTTCGCTGTATTTTTGTCGCTCAGCCAACCGACTTATTTTGGTAAACCAAGCCCGTTTAAAACGCACCTAACTTAAGAAACCAACCGTTTGCAGACTGGTGTCTCAACTGTTTGCAGTTGAGAAACCAACCGTTTGCAGATTGAACGTGTCTCAGCAGGGAATAGTATCCGGATTCAGCTCATGAGGCAGTCCCCACCCCTCCCTCTCTTTAAGAGTAAAGACATGTTTAATTCAAAATTAGTCCCATTTGCAGGAGCGTGTGCAAGAATTTGCAATTGGGGAGAAGGAGGGAAGTCAGCCAAAGAAAAAAAATCACTAACAATATAAGTTATCGTGCCAGGAGCTTGAGATCTATATGCGCGCCTACCTGGAACAGACATCAAATCAGTCCGCCTTACACCTCAGTCATCAATTCCTTCAAAAAATGAGAAACCTTACCAACACTTAATGTGAATAACGGAACCAAATACCGCGGATAATTTATCCATAGCCCACAATACCAAACAGCAGGCACCCCGGCAAGTGCCTTGCACGATCACCGAGCAGCTACTGCCGAGTAACCAGCTATTTCCAATGCCACGAGCCAGGTATCAAGTTTGAATTATTTATTGCGCCTGCTGCCAAGGACGTGCTGACGCGGCGAACTTTGGTGCGTTTCACAACAAAACGTTGTCCATACCCATGCACAGTGGATACTGGCAATATGTATATAATGTACTGATACAGCACACTGGATACTGATAATGTAACTAGGCAGCACTGTTGCCGCATGACGTATCTCGTCGCTGAGGCGGGCGAAATCGGCTCCGGTAGCCCTCTATCGGCCAATATCCGAACCACTAGGTTAAGGGTTGCGAAGAAGTGGGAAAGTCTCTCCAACCCGCCGATCTCACGCACTCTGGAGTTAAGGAGACGCTGGACTTTAATCGACAGGTGGGCCGCTGCGGAGGCCTGGACGTTATGATTCTCCTCGATCGAGGATTTTAGAACGATTTCTGGTATGTCGCTAAACGCTGAATGCTACGATTCTGGCTATTCTGAACCACATGGACTTGTATCGGACTCGTTTCGCTTCACGTTTCACAAACTCGACGTTTCAATACCATGCCGAAACGCCGCCGCGTGAGCCATTGCGACTTTGTGACGTCACTGGCCTATCGTTAACCAGCCGCCAGCCCGACCAATTTCTCAAGCTGCGATGATGGCCCCCTAGACAGCTATAACCTTTTTGATGTAGCGTACCGGACCAACATTTTGTATTTTTCGTAATCAGGAGGTCGATATCTACCAGTTACTATCGGAGTTTACAAAGAATTGAAGGAGTCCGTCATTTTTATTGTGATCTTTCATATTGATATATCGTCCGGTGATAAGGCGTACCGTGTCCAAGATTTTGTGCTCATTATACTCACGAGATTAAACTGTATCTGTATGCACAGTTTCAGGCCAATCTGAGGAGTGCGCTGAATCTGGAATATGGATTCGAATCTGGATGTGCATGTGATGCCAACTTCACGAACGTGCGATCACGGCCAGAGCACGAGCGTGCCGCTGGTTCGAAAATTGTGTGTTGATAAGCATTGTCTAACGTAATACGATTACTGGGTGTTTGGTGTCGGAACCAGCTAAACTTCCGCGCCGATTTGTTCCCCGTTCGTGAAAGGGCATCACACTTCACGAAGCGGTGAGGTGCTCATGCTATGTGATCCTGCCAGACAGGTGGAGGAACGTTTCAGATAGCCTGGGTGGCGCGTGTCCAAGCTAAATTCTCGGTTTGATTTTGTCCATGCGTTATAGAAGAGCTGTTGGTCAGCATCTTCTGAAATTTCTGCATATAGATATGAATGTATTAATATCAGTCATTTTACCATCAATAATATAACATTATCAGCAATATTACAGTACTAAATTCTCAGCAGTCTTTATGACTTGTGTTTGTGGAACTAAATATAGGTGTGCAGGCAAGGCTGGCATTTTGTATCACCATGTACAATGCAACTAACCTAAGTGGTTGGTTGCTGCCATACTTTGCAACTAATTCTTCTAGTAATTAGATTCAGATGACAAATGACGAGGTATTTGTTCTTCAGAAGTCAAATGACTGACTGAGCAGTAAGCCAGGGTCTCATAGATAGTGATTGCTGGATTGACGAACAGATGCATAGGTCTAATAGAACAACAATAGTTGTATAATTTGCTTGAGATTAATGTGTTTGATTAGTGATTGGCTGTAAATATTATTTTCAGTAATATTACTTATCAATAATATTACTATCAGGTAGTAATATTACATACCAGTAATTTTACAGTACTATATTAATATCAGTAGTAATATTACTTCACAGTAATATTACAAGCAACATTAATTCTAAGATAGTCTTTATGACTAATCCTCATGAACTAAATGTAGACACCCAGTCATGTATTGGATGTATATACACATACATTATATATATATATATAGATATATATATATATATATATATATATATAACATATATCGGATATTTGACTGGCCATTCATTGCATATGTAATCATGCTTGATAATTCATACTGCATACACAAAACAAAATTAAATCAATTAACCATATAACCAAAGCATGTCAGACCCAGTGAGAGCTGGACCAAGGATTCAATGAAAACATTTCTGTGGGTGCCATGTGAGATGCTCATGCCAAGGTTGCATCAGTGTTGTCCTGACTGATGTTTTGGCAGCATCGTCACATGTTGTGACCCCGTGTAGGCTGCCAGCAAGAAACTGGTGTGGGTGGGACACATTGGAGTGTTGATGAACATGTGAATATCACCTGGTCTTCCCGCATGTGGCAAGTGCTGTTTGAAGGCAACAGTATGTAATCATTGAATTAAATATAACATACTCTGTGAGGGAACCCATTGTGTTTTGATGAATGCTTTTTTTAGTGTATCATTTACGTGAATAGTTTCAAGTTACTAAGTTGATTAATTCAATGCCATTTCATTCTGTATGTACCTTATTGTGTGATATGTTCTGATTTTGCAATTTGATAACTCCAAATTACCAAATATATGGCCTTAATTTGCTGCCATGTTTGTAACATTCAGAGCTCTCCTTCATGCACACAGGTCTGTTCTGTAGTAGTATCAGTTAAATGTGTGATTGTGTCCTAGCTGCATGGTATTCTTTCTGTGGCTGATGTTTATATACACACACATATATTATACACACACACACACAACACACACATATATATATATATATATATATATATATATATATATATATATATATATATATATATTGTCCTGATAGTGTCCCACACCTGTTACCATATCATCCCTTGTTTATTTGGTCACAGACTGACGGAAGCTGGCCGCCATGGATACACCGGAGCCGCGTCACTCCAGCAGTCGGCACAGTGACCTGATGGAGCGCACACTGCAGCGGCTGGACGAGGCCATCCAGAGTCCGTCGGCCATCCTCAGGACGCGCCGCTCCGTCTCCGGCCGGCCCACCAGCCGGCGCTCACGTGGGTTGCAGCAGTGCACAGCTGTGTCGCACGCGGTCAGGTGTACAGTGTGGGAGGCCCCGCCATGCCAGCCTCGCCAGATGGCCTCTGGGCGCAGCAAGACTCTGTGTCCACATGCGTCAATGTTTTCAATGTAGCGCACATTGACCACATACCTGCTTTGAATGGCCTAGCAGTGAGTACGGGTCCCACTCGCGCCATGTGATGCCCCGGGGATGCGTTGCAGTGGTGTCCAGGCGAAGCGGCCTGGCGGATGACCTGACTATGGACCTGACTTCAACCGCGGTCGGCCTCCGCCAGAGTGG